ACAACTACCACTTTAAAGGACAATGGTATGTCGCGGCCTGGAGACAGAACATATTGCCTTTCTCACCTGGGCGAACGTTCAACATTAAAGCCAAAAATGAGGTGTTGCCAAGTAAGGCGCTAGGAAATAACAGGTAGTTAGAAGTAGAGAGAAAGATAAATACAAAATATTGCAATGGATGCAGCAGATTTATTTTGGTCGCTTATGTGTCCCCAAGTAGAGGGCACAAAAGCCAATCCCCAATTTGGCATGGGGTTCCCCACAATACTGGCCTCTTAAGATACAACATGTAATGGGTAACAATAGGTGTATTCTTTCTCGATCCTCGACCTGCGTAAACCTAATTTCTACCTAAATATGTCATACGCGTAACATATATTATTCTAAAATGTACGAAAAAGGGATGCAAAAGGATTTGTTTTAAAGTTAGTTTACCTCGTGACACAGGGCGTACACATAGACAGCTTCACATGACGGTATATATAAAAGCCTAGCGTTGACTTTCATTTTGCTATAATATATTAATTTATTGAAATATCAACTTTTGGGAAGGTTTGGCCAATGAAACTGGGGCAAGTTCGGCCCATGCAACACATAAGAAGTCGCTTTGGCGGGAAAAATCTGACGTTGAATGCTTTATGACATCATAACTATTCTGATTCCATCGTTGGCCGATATAACCACAGACAGCCTGGCCGAACTTGCCTCAAGGCAGGGCACGTTCGGCCATCAAATCTTTCAACAGAAAAAAAAATAATTATACCTCAAATACGGACGTGTTTGCCCTTTTGTAATAATTTTATGACAGGCAATGGATTTCTCTTCCGAATGATTGATATACATATACCATTCAACAAATGCCATACTATCTAGAACGACTTCAGTTCAAATGGGCCGAACGCGCCCCGGTCTCCTCTTTTGAATAAAATTAATTTTCATTTATTTCTAAAGCGTTTCAGAACACGTAAAGACTACTCAGTTTCGGACTAACATTTTTGGTCTGTGAAGTCATAAAGTAAACATTTGATACACCAAAACAATTCGTCACCAGGAAATACAAATCTGACGACCTATGGCGATAAAAATAATTTAATGGATAATGAAGCAAATGCATGTTCATTAGTTTCCAAGAAATCAAGTATTATTGAGGCTTTTGTTACGTGGAAATAAAATTCCCTGTATGCATACAAGTATATTTTTGATTAACAGGAAGAAATGAATACGGATGCTTTCTAACAGGAAATTATTTATACGGAGCTGATACGCTCTAGTGCCTTAATATGAAACTTTTTGATAACAAGACTTTAATGTTATGCTACAGGTTATGGGGATCTAGTCCGGTGTTTCTGTTGCGGAGGAGCTCTCCGGAACTGGTTGCCAGGAGACGACCCTTGGATTGAACATGCTAGATGGTTTCCGGAATGTGTGTACCTTCGGCAGAGCAAGGGAGATAATTTTTTACTCCTGGTCCACGATGACGTCACGTTGCCACAGGTAAGAGTTTATAATAAGGAAGTTAGTTGCAATAGGGCTTGGTAGTTTCCCAAATTGTGTCCATTCATATGACAGTTTGAAATGAGATAATTAATGTAAAATATGATAACGAATGCGTAAATGAATTGTTGGTTATTTCCATCTTATGTATAAGTTTAAAAAGTCCCTATGTATTCATTATATGTGGCCTTTTATAGATACTGTATATATGTGTGTCGCGAGTAAATGTTTCCAATCAAGTATATTCAGTTTAATGTTATCATACTGACATGTAACGAAGTATGTCTATAAGGTCAGCAATGAAATAAAATGGCATTCACTACAAAACAATTGATGCAGAATTATTATACAATCAGACATATTTCAAATCTGACCGTATTCATTGTATGGCCTCAACACTTTTCATTGCTATTTATTTAAATATTGTATCTTATCTAATTAATATATGGAATAATCAGTTACTTGAAGAGGTGGTAAATATCAGCTAAAGTACTTCTAACAATAATTAAATGTTCATAAGATATTTCATTGTAAAGACAAAAATGAGCATGCCACAGGCACGAATGCAAATAAAAATTAGATTTTTAATTTGGTTTATGAAACATCAGCTTTGTGCATTTTGTCTTAAGTAGAGACACCAAATCAACAGAACAATGGATAATGAGCTGTTATATTCGATATTGAACAATACACTTGTCAGCAACGGGATTTTACATTTCATTTCCCTTGTGATTTTTGTTATATATTTTATAAATTTCAGATGAGCAGTCACAACAAAAGTATAACCCCCCAGTCAGCCACAGGAGAGGCAGGTAAGACGACTTATATATATATATAGTATGGAGCGCATATTTTTTATTGTGTGTATAAAGTCCAAGTAATTACACGTATACTACATAATTTAGCGCGAAATCATTAACACAATTATGAAAATAATAATAAGAAAAATGGGCTCGCTTTGTATCGTGTATGAAATATGTAAATGATTAAATCCAGTGAAGATTAAAACTATGTATTATATTATTGAGCATAATTCGCAATGAAAGTAGTTAAAAATTCTAAAACATTGGCAATAAACCTATTCTCAAAACCTTTGATATCTACGATAGATATCAGGATATGTAAAATTAAAAAAGACACAAGTTTGATATCCGAGATGATACTGGCTCATTTTGTTCACAATTCAATGTTTGATATGATATTTAGATACAAAATATGTACAATCTGCTTTAAATTGAAAAGACCGTCGTATCTAACAAGTAAAGGACATCATCTCTTATTGCAGTTATTTGTCAAATTAGCAACAAATGATGTTATTGTGCAAAACGAAGGGAAACACGATTTGATGATCCTGTACTGCTTCCTTAAAGAATTTCGTGAACTGGCGATGTTTGTTATTATTTTGATGTATTATGTAGATTCGTCCCCGGTACCAGAAAACGCAAGACACTTTAGTCCGGATCCAGTCGATCAGAGCGTGGAGGATCCGTTCACTCAGAGGGTGAAGGCAATGGGATTCTCGATGGACACTATTTTGTCCGGTGTGACGTCACTACAAAGACGTACGTATCTTTATTACAACGTCTGAATTAATTGATGTATTACGTCTATCTTTCCGCAAAGAATAAACTACAAAAAAGAAGGTCGAGAGAAGTCATTGTTTCTTGACCCCGTTGTCCAAAGTACACTCCACGATCTGAATAAGAAATAGGTTGTTATCTAATAACTTTATCATTCTCTGCTTCCGAAACAAACTAATTTTGCTAGTTATTCCAAATGTTCGCAACACTGTATACTAGCTAAGCAAGCTTCTGTGTTTCAATCTTGCTGTATACAGATTAAAAAGGATAGGATTAATCTTGAGCATCCTTTCCTCAAAAACGTTTATTCTGTTAGAATAAGGATTTTCCTTCTTCTACCATGCCTCATACCAAACTAAAGGAACGCATTTGCTCTGATGTTATGAGGATTTACTTTACCAAGGAGGTGAACGGCGATTGTTGCTAACCTGGTTCTGGCTTTGAGGGGGTGTTATTTATTACTTAGATTTGACATAACTTCCTGAACATCTTTTCTTATTTTCATTGTACTTTTCAAGGGTCTCCACTTATGCGATTGATTTGTTTATATTTTGCCCTAGTTTTATCAATTTCGAATTACGATTTCGTTAATGTATGTTAATGATAATATAATGTATTTATGTATTTCTCTGTTGCATGATATTCCGTCTTTGCGTATTGCAGAGTTGTCTTCTCTTGAGAGCA